AAAGTGTCAATTTGTGTGATATTTGAATTCACCTCAGTAAACACTTCAAATTGCCTCAATACATCAATGCACCTCCTTTTCACTCACTTTCAACTTCTTCTTCTTCATCCCATCACACTAACTATCATCCCCCACACTATCACCATCATGGCTATGCACAAACAAGCACATTGGGTATCGCATATGCCAAAATATACTCACAAGATCAAAACGACAAAAATTTGATTTTCTCAACTCTGCTACTTCTTCTTGACAGCTGAATGAATTGGCTTAGTACAAGCAAATGGGTCCGTAATCCCCACAACGCCTATCCATCAACCTCAAGTCAGATTTCGATTGACATTGGACTCACACCATATCATTCATTAATGGCCATGCTGTCATAACTCAATTTTCAAATCACAGAACTTAATGAGTGTGACCTGATGATCTCATTACCCACAATGTGACCCCAATACTTTCGTGTACTGCAAATAGCAAATAAAATTCCAATTACCAGTCTTGATCGAGTACGTTCAAAGTTCTCACAAACAACATTAATTAATGTTTATCTCTCTCGGGGTGTGCGATAGACTTACCTCCACGTGGTGCACCCTGGACAACGTATACTCATACGGCAAAAAAGTCTATTAACCGGCAGTTGACTTCTCACTTTAGGCTACCATCACACCACTGTATGCCATACTCTACCACTTCCACAGTAATCATTTTACCTTTTCTCTGCCTCTGTATCTGTCTCTTTTACAACTGTAAACCACTCTTCTGTTCCCCACCCATCGCAACTCGGTTACTTTGACGTTCCTTCCCTCTGTAAAGCCTGAAGTCAGCTAAAGGGCTAATGATAACTATCAAAACGCCTGCCATTTGAAATAAATAAATGTTTGTCTCTATCTCTAATCGCATCTTCAGGTCAATGCCAATTTTATTGAATTAGTTTGTGTATGGCTGCTTCCAAGTACCGCAACTTAGGCTAAGTCATACCTATTAGTCACTTAACATTTCACAGCCATTTTGATTTTCTCAGTTCTCTCATCAGTGAACTTCTTTATTCTCATGTTTTGACCTCTCTTCTACCACGTTATTACAGAAACAAGAGCAGATCAAAAGATTCGAATTTATTCTGAATGGCAATTCGGGCAGATTAAAATTGAGAGGCGCTGAAAGGCAGCTGCTTGGGTAGTGATTAAGCGAAATGACATGAAATCTCTCCAAAGATGCACATAAATGTAGTGATATGCAACTTTTGCTTCAACCTACGTGAAAAAAAGTGTGGTGCATGTTGCGAGTTTATGCACCTTGGATACATCTTTGCCCAACAGTCGATATCAGCAATTGCTCTGCCATTTTATCACATTAACTTTACGACACAAATACACGCGACATGAGTTCAATATTGTCCATGGAATAAGTTCGAAAGGAGTTATTAAAATATCAGAAAATTTTTTGATTACAAGGGATGTATATTAGGTCAAGAAACCTGTGGTTGGCTTATGATTTCAAACCATCATGACCCCACTCTATGCCATATTCCATCACTTCCACAGTACTCACATTCCTCTTTCTTTTTCTCCACTTTTGTGTCTGTCTACCTCTTTTCCATTTGTGAACCACTCTTTTATATCCAACCCCTCCCCTCACCCCCCCCTTCCCCCACCTCAACTTGTGTGACCTCTATATTCCTCCCCTCTGACAAGCCCGATGTTATCTAAAAGTATAATAAAAAATAACATAAAGCCTGTCATTTGATATAAATAAATGGTGAACAAGGTAATTTATTAATGCAATTCATGAATCAAAAGTGTACAGAAACAGCCTGGAAAAATCTACGCAATAAGGAAGGTAGTCTGATTGATGGCAAAAATCAGATGATCTCGCAACTCCTGCAAAGTAGCGTATTCACGTAGGTACAATGTGTGGAAATACGCCTGCGCACACGGATATGCCTTTCTGCTTCCTTCACTAGACTTATGAACTTGAAATTTTGGCGACAAATCTCTCCACCCATTCATGGGTAGGGTTGAGCAGCCAGTAGCAAAACGCAAGAATTTCCGACGATCCTCTACATTGAAGCCAATAAGTACCTCAAAGAAATGTTCAACCGTCATGGAATTTTGCCGAAATCACCGAAGAGAATATTTGCTTTAAGCTCGTCCAGTGATCACGGCTTCTCCGCAAGCTGGCCGCCTATCAACTTCTGAACTTCTGTGCAGGTGAACATTGATAACCATTTGAGGGGAAATACAGTATTCCTCCTCCTCCTCCTCATTGACTTCGTCGTCTCCCCTAGTAGTAGTTGCACTTCCTGATTCCCAGGGATACACGTCTCTAAGCTTCACAGTAGTAGTTTTCGTCTGATGAAAAGATGAATGCTGAGAATAGATTTCTGTTGAATGAATGCAAGAGCACAAACAATGTAATGTGATTTTGACTCACATGGGAATTGCATTCCACTGTCATGGGTATACAGAGGTCGTCCAACTCCACTCCAAATATCTCTTTGCTGGCTGAGTCTATAAATGGCCTCAGAAGCTCCACTTTAAGGCCGTCACCATCCTCAAGCTGTGTTCTTTGTCTTCGGTAAAGCTCCAAAAGACCCGGGAGAATGCTTCGATAATGCGGGTAGAGAAGAAGAAAGTCTTCCTCGTCAAGCAGTCCAGTGAGCCAATGTCTACTCCCCGACAACTTCCAGTAAGCAATAAACCTGCGGCAAGAAGATGGTCCTACACAAATTGGCCATTAAATTGTATTTTAAATTAAAAATGAAAAATGAATAACTTGTGCGTAGAAGATTAGTACCTGGAGAGCTTTGGCTATAGAAATGCCAAGAATATGAAATCGCCTGAGTACGCCTACGGGCACAAGATGTCGTGGGTATGGAGTAGGAAAGAGCCCAAATTGTGTATGCACGAAGAGAGAATCCTCGCTCTTAGATGCATCCAACCACATGTGACCAGATTTTCGGCAGAATTCTCTGCTCAACTCTGAGTAGAAGTCCCGATCCACCCCATCACCGATTCCCGGTTCACCTGAGTCATGAGAAATAAAGTCCATCAATTCGCCACTTTCTGATATCGGCACTTTAATAGCTTCTTTTCAAAAAAACTAGTTACCATCATAGGAAAAAGTAAATTCAAGTTTCGATTCGGCATTTTCATTCATCAGGCGTTCCGCACTACTCCAAAATTGCCTTCCGCCATCACCGTCAACAGCATTTCTTTGTGCTGTCTCTGTAACACTTTCTACCCAGCCATTCTAAGGAGAATTACAATTATCCTCTTTATTGTACAATAAATGATACATGCACTTATAAAAATAGTTATATATACAAATATATATATATATAGGGGTGTGTGATAGACTTACCTCCACGTGGTGCACCCTGGGCAACGTATATTCATACGGCAAAAAAGTCTATTACATGGCAGTTGACTTCAAATCACCATGACCCCACTGTATGTCATATTCGACTACTTTCATAGAACTCATCCCACCTTTTTCCACTTTACCTACCTTCGTCTTCGATATACTCTTCTGTTACCAACCCCCCTCCCCTCTATAATTATTTTACACTTTGATGTTCCTTCCCCTCTGTGAAGATTGAGGTCAACTAAAGGGCTAATGATAACAATCAAAACGCCTGCCATTTGATATAATATATATATATATATATGTGTGTGTGTGTGTGTAATTATTTTACACTTTGATGTTCCTTCCCCTCTGTGAAGATTGAGGTCAACTAAAGGGCTAATGATAACAATCAAAACGCCTGCCATTTGATATAATATATATATATATATATGTGTGTGTGTGTGTGTGCGTGTGTGTGTGTCTGTGTGTGCGTGTGTATGGCGAGGGAGAGAAATATATAGGCCTCCAGTAATTTCAGAATTATTGGGGGGTAGGGTGGAGCCTGACTCGAAATCGGTTGGATTGGCAGGTACAGATTTTTGAGTTGCCTCATTTGAACCAATTTCTTTTGTCTCATCTCACCAATCCATTGCATGCTTCTGAAATTAAATATAGTGCATATTTGCTTTGAAAAACTGAAACGACAATCTGGGTCCAATTGTACAATTGACATTTAAACGCCCCTAATATAGCTGCATGAAACAGGAATTGACGAATTACCGTGGGCGTTACCTTCAGTCATTTCCCATTCAGTAAGCCCTAACCCCTCCCCCCTAAACCTCCCCTTCCCTTCCCTTGGTTCAAGCACTTACCTAGAGAATCCAAAAGCACAAGCGCGAAAGAGTCGAAGACGCAAGTCAAACGGTACGAGCATTGACATTTGAGCTCCTAAGCTGTCACACCAGTGTGGAATGATGCCCAGTCCAATAACAGTACTTTCGTTCAATTGACGTTCAATCAATAAGCTGTCACACCAGTGTGGAATGATGCCCAGTCCAATGACAGTGCTCTCGTTCTAAGCTGTCACACCAGTGTGGAATGATGCCCAGTCCAATAACAGTACTTTCGTTCAATTGGCGTTCAATCAATCTACACAGACGTTGAGAATAATACTTCAAGCCTGCTTTTGCGCGGTCCTCTGCAGACCCACTTTCACCACCTCTCGACTTGCCTGTGACGTAGGTGGATGATAGTTCATGGAGTAAGTAAGCAAGTTGAAGTGATCTATCTGAATCAGTAGGGGTGGTGGCGGTGGAAGTGGCGGCCAATCCCTCCGAATTTTCGGAAAGAAAGCACTTAAGTGACAGACTTGTTTCTGCGTAATAACCTTTTCGAGCCAACATCTCAGCAAGTCGCTGAAAATGACAAAGTCATTGAAACACAATTCCAATGTTTGCGATTTTGATCATAAAAGCGTGTGACTCACCATTGCGTACTTCAAAATCGGAGTATTATAATTGTCGATTTCGATGGATTCAATTGCATTCATCCACTGGTTTGTGGCAACCAATTGGAATCGTGGTGGAGGGAGTCTCTTTTTAGCTGTAAATAAAAGCACATATTCATTGTACAGCATTGGATTATTCAAGAAGGATGAACAGTTCAGTTAGCACTTCTTACTCTTCATGTTGATGCAGTTAGCGAAATCAAATAACACACTGAATGCACCATTCATTGGTTCGTTATCTCCCCCATGAAGATTGTATTCACTTCGCATACCTCTTGCATATTCCACCGGTGCAAACTTTGCTCCCCTCTTGACAGCTTTCATTTGACTTATTAAATATTTGGTACTGAAGTTGGTCTCTAGAGAGTCATCATCTAACAACTGCACAGCTTCATTAGGGAGGAATGCATGAACTTACCTTCTGGTGAATACCAACAATCTTTCCAAAAAAGTCTAAGCCACAAACTTGCATTCTTTTCTGCTTGTCTATTGGTGATAAGTCCACAATACGAAACATTCGATAACTCCTTCCATCGCTCGATAAGGCACTGTCTGATTGGAGTGGAAAAAGTACACTCTCTCCACATATTCTACTCTCATTCTTGTGCACTGAGAGAGTACTCCAATTCTCCCCATCGTTGGAACCCTTGTGCACAAAAGAGGAATATAAGTCAGTTGATAACGAAAACATATTCTGATAAAACCATGTTGAAATATACCTGAAGGCACCAGCTTGTGATTGGTCTTTCTCTCCCTGTGTCATAAATACAACTGAG